TAAGAAGGAGGTTCGGAACTCAACCGGCTGATTCAAGAAAGACGAGCTCTTGAAGCGTTTCCGGTAGGAGAAGACACTTCCGGTATCGTTAGCCTTTAAGTATCACATGAAATTAATTTTAACGAGACAGTGAACTATTTAATGTTTTTCCTCTAATAAAACCTCGTGCTTAAAAAAAAATAATTCTTTATTTGTGTATATTTTTTGTTGTGTAAAAACGACTTGGTTTCGAGCAAGGGGGAGGAGGAAACCACTGCGGGCGCCATCTTCAGAAGGTGCCAGAATAGTAATTTTTCATGCAAATTGTGTATTGAATATTGATATATTTTAGGAGGAATTGCCTTATCTATTGTATATGGCCTTATCTATTGTATATGGCCTTAACTATAGAATATGGCCTCCTTATCTATTGCATGACCTTATCTATTGCATATGGCCTTATCTATAATAGGGCCTTGTCTATTGTATATGGCCTTATCTATTGTATATGGCCTTATCTAGGACAGAGTGTCACACCCTCATCCCCCAACCCCTAGCTTATCTAGAGTTATGTTATTTTTGGTCAGCCAATCAAAAGTGAGTTCTGAGCTTTCCGAAGAGTAGCAGGAGTCCTCATTTGTACCAGATTTTGTAATTATTTTTTTTGCCGGACTCCCTGCATCACATATTCTGCCGAAATCCTACAACAAACGATTTCGATATAAAAGTGACGTTCCACATGAAATACACAGGGTGGGACAAAGTAAAATAGGAAAGAGGAACGATTAAGACTACATGGAGATCCACAATCTGTTATTCCCATGCAGTAAGGATTCACATTCAGCTACAATCATATCCAGTGCCTCAGTTAGATCCAGGGTCTCAGATCCATGGTCTCAGTTAGAGCCAGAACCTGAGTTAGATCCAGGGCCTCAGTTAGAGCAAGGGCTTGAGTTAGAACCAGGGCCTCAGTTAGGGCCTGGGCCTCAGAACCAGGGCCTGAGTTAGATCGAGGTTGCCACCTCAAAAAATAAAATAAAATTAATAATAAAAAAAACTTTCGAAGATTAAATATTGAAAATTCCAATTCAACGTACGTCTATGGATGCTTCAATGGCTATGTCTGCACGACACTATGCAAATTCTATATTTCATAACGATATTTTATTGCATAGCATTATCGTTATTGTTAAATTTCACCTCATTATGGTCACCCAAGGTTTAAAGTAAGCAAGTCAACAAGCATACGCTTAAGCACCAGTGGAGCCATAACAAGCTACTTCCAGAGAGGTATTACAGAACAACAACCACCACCAGGAACCTTATATAGCCAGCCATTGCAGTACCTGGCATACGCAGACGATATAGCGCTACTGTGTAGAATGAAATATAAGGACAAGTTATCGTAAACTTGAGTTCATTGACAGGACAAAAGATTGACGTTTCGGCTAAGAGCATTCATCAGATAAAAAGACGAACACATTATAAGTATCAGATCACAATAAAAAATACAACTAAAGATATTTCCTTTTGGTCAACTGACTGCATTGCCCGAACTAGACTCAAACATTCCATCTACTGACTGCATTGCCCGAACTAGACCCAAACATTCCATCAACTGACAGCATTGCCCGAACTAGACCCAAACATTTCATCAACTGACTGCATTGCCCGAACTAGACTCAAACATTCCATCAACTGACAGCCTTTAGCCTTGACACGCCCTAAATCCCAAAAACTCTATCAACTGACATCCTTGTCACGACCTAGACCACCAAAATTTCTTCAATTGACAGCCTTGACACAATCCCTTGACATGCCCCAAAATTCTTCAACTGACTGCAATGTTTGCATCCAGCGATGAATTCAAGTTTTTACCTTTACATTTTTAAACACAATAATGAAAGCATTATTTTTTAAGGAATCCTATTTCATAGATTATATACATCATTATGTTCAATATTTAATTCGTAGCTTTCAAAAGTTCATTTAAAAAAAAAAAAGATCAGCAAGTTTTGAATAGCAACAAATTATCCAATAGTTTTCAAAGTGCATTCCAACATGGCGGAAGGGCTACCACAATAACATGGCTGAGTAGATAACATACTTAGCCTGAATGAATGATCAGGTAGGAAGCTATCAATACAAAATTATACTACATAAGCTCAATGATTACAGTATGGACACTTAAAATATTAAACAAATATGCAAATGACGTCATGGGTAATAATAACAATATTAGCCCTTGTGCATGGCATTGAGGATAGTGTGCGATTCGATAATCATGTATCTTAGTTTTAGCGCAGTATAAACTAACATTCCTATATAAAGGGGTCACGGGGCTAGTGCCGGCCATCCCAGCTAACACGTATCTCACCCCACAGAACCCAGGTCGCTCAATCAGAGCCAAACGCTCACTAAACACCGACTTCACCTCTGACAACTCCGAGAGCAGTTAGATCCGGAGCAGTGATAAATGCCTCACCGTGCCTCGTGTAACACAGTTCAATATAAACAGTCATTCTTCTCACGAACAATAATTGCTTGGAACCAACTGGACAATGCCGCCGTGGACTCGACATCAATCGAGCATTTCAAGGCTGCTGCCCTGGCACCCGCTAGGAGCCGTTAGTATAGCCGCATCATTTCCCAAACCGTTTAACATATGCCATTACGTGGAAGCAGCGTATCAGAATCAGAACCTCCCTACAATTACAATAAAACCTCCCTACAATTACAATAAAACATCCCTATAATTACAATAAAACCTCCCTACAATTACAAATAAAACCTCCCTAAAATTACAATAAAATCTCCCTACAATTACAAATAAAACCTCCCTACAATTACAATAAAACCTCCCTACAATTACAAATAAAATCTCCCTACAATTACAATAAAACCTCCCTACAACTACAATAAAACCTCCCTACAACAACAATAAAACCTCACTACAACTACAATAAAACCTCCCTACAACTACAATAAAACCTCCCTACAACTACAATAAAACCTCCCTACAACTACAATAAAACCTCCCTACAACAACAATAAAACCTCCCTACAACTGCAATAAAACCTCCCTACAACTGCAATAAAACCTCCCTACAACTACAATAAAACCTCCCTACAACAACAATAAAACCTCACTACAACTACAATAAAACCTCCCTACAACTACAATAAAACCTCCCTACAACTACAATAAAACCTCCCTACAACT